GAAATGTAACCTGCTGCAACCCCCTTAACAATCTATTAGGTCCTGAAAGTACCAGTGCCTTGCTTACAAAATCACTAAGTTCTAATGCATCACAAATTGCTTTATTGGTGTATTGATATAGACACATTCTAGCATGTAGAATGTAGCAATAGCAATAGCGTTTAGGCTTATATAGCACCCCATAGCATTTTATAGCACTCTCTGGGAGGTTTACAATGTTGAAACATTATTTGCATATTGCCCCCAACAATCTGGGTCCTCAATTAACCGGAAGGCTGAGTCAATCTTGAGCCCCATCATCAGGGTTGAATTCCAGGCTGTGGGCAGAGTTTGCCTACAATATTGCATTCTAAATACTATGCCACCAGTATTTGTTCCATGATACATAAATATAGATATAGATTATCACTGCTTGTTAGAATGAAATGAAAGAATGAAAATTAAAGCTGACATCTACCACCCCAATATTTCTGTTTTAATTTGCAATCTAAAGTTTATATCAAGACCTCGGAGTGTAAATCTGTATGCATCTTCCACTAATTAAAAATTAGGGATGCATTCCTAATCCCAGCAAAGCCCAAAATAGATTCGTATAATAAATGAAATTTTCATTGATCTGAAAGAGCAATTTAGGATTAAACACTCTAGTTAAGAATGAAAACCCCAGATCAGTATTAAGCTCAGATAATGTTTATGGTTGTAAATTTCATTATGCTAGTAGTATAAAATAATGGAGGGGATGCTTACAAAAAACTAAAAGCCACTTTGATGTAGTGATTAAGGCATCAAACACAAATTAGGGGGTTTTGAATCTTGCTTTACGCATAAAGCCATCTGGGTGACTTTGGGCTAGCCACACTCTTAGTCTTAAGAAACATCTAATGATAAACCATTGCTGAAAACCCTTACCAAAACAAACAGCAGGGTCTACTCCAGCCTTCACAAAAAAATCAACAATAACTCAAAAGCATACACATGCTTAGAAATACAAGCTTCTCTCACTGTTTTTATAACTTTATTTAATAAATCATAAATATATTAATAAAGTTTGGAAATAGGAACAGTAAATTTAAAATAGTTTTAAAATGTTGAATTATGCAATCACTTAGAGTTTATCAATATATAAAGAATTTTGAATTTATTGAAGTATTCCAAAGATGATTATTTTCTTATACCATCCCAGACATAAAATCTTGGATAGATGGTATATATTCATACTGTTTATATAATAAATAGAATAACTATTCTGCATAAAGATTTAATGCTACCCTTTGTTTTTATCTTGGATATAAATGTGACTTTACTTTTTGGTCAGTTACTTATTGTGGGGGCACTAGTCATCCCCAGTGTAATAGATTACTGAGGGAGTTAAATTAATGAAGCTTCTAAGATACATTAATGGTCTACTGTCCTAAAGGTGCTTTTTCAACAGGCAATTGGACTTTTTTGTTTTTCCTTTGAAGATGTTTTGCTTCTCATCCAAGAAGTTTCTTCAGCTTTGACTGGATGTGGAGCTGAAGAAGCTTCTTGGATGAGAAGCAAAACATCTTCAAAGAAAAACAAGAAAGTCTAGTTGCCTCTTGAAAAAGCATCTTTGGGACAACCGTGAACTGGATGACTGAGAATCTCCATGGACATTAATGGTCCACTATTTGACAAAGTATGCTACCCAGACCCTTGAATCAAATACTTTTCCTAAACAAATGAGTTTTATAAGGCACAAGCACAAATGAATAACACTCCTACTCAAATTGTGAAGATAAAGCCTGTAAATCTCAGCAGATGGCAGCCTCTCCAATTTTGCCTGAGCTAGGAAGATAAGCAGAATAAGACCTTATTAAATAGAAGGCCACATAAGCTTAGGTCAAGGATATCAATCAACAAGACCTTCTCCCACTGTGTTAGTCTTCTTTAACATGATCCAGCTCAGATTTCCTCCCAGATTAAATCATCTTATTTTACGACCTTTCTAGCCGCAGTTGTTAAGTGAATCATTGCAGTTGTTAAGTTAGTAGCAGTTGTTAAATGAATCTGCTTTCCCCATCAACTTTGCTTGTCAGGTCACAAAACCTGTTCACATGATCCCGTTCATAAATATGAACCAGTTGCCAAGCATCCAAATTTTGATCACATGACTATGGGGATGCTGTAACAGTCGTAAATGTGAAAAATAGTCATAAGTCACTTTTTTCAGTGTTGTTGCAACTTTGAATGGTCACTATACAAACTGTTCTAAGTCGAGAACTACCTGTATGTGCAAATAATGGAATCTAACGCAATATTTTTGAAATCTCTCAGATTATATGAGTAACAATTAGATTTTTGTGACATATAAGGACAGTAACTCAGTAATAATTACATTTTAAAAAATTAAAAATTACCTTAAAGTGCTCTGGCGTAAAGAAAATGAATAGCTACAAAAATGGAAATATTCTGGTAAGAGAGTTAGCAGTGCTTCTCCAAAGATTATATTCTACAACCCATCAGTTCACATGTTCAGTAGATGGCAGCAAAAATGAGATTTCTGTTTGCTTGTGTTGCCATCTAGTAGTCATTCAGATCTTTATAATCCTGTACTTGGATGATTAGAGGTTATCAGATTTTATTCCATAACAACAGATCTTATTAAATCTATAGCTTTAGAGATTGTTGAGGGAAAAAAATCCCATTCAAATCTTGTCTTAGCCAGAATTCACCCAGTTGTATTAGGTAAAGCCCTGATTTTAGACTTCCACTTTTAATAGAAATGCTAAGTTACCTTAAAAAGTTGCAGTAAGATTGCTGAGATAGCATGAAAGTTACTGGAATTGATTTTTATTTCAACTGTTTTCACCTCATTCTCACAATACCTTAGATGGCATTTTGAGTGTGCTGAAATTGTTTTTCTTATACATCTCTCAATAACTCTGCAGTGTCCTTGGATACCTAGGTTCTGTAACTGAACAAGTCCTGTGGGAGATGTTTCCACACAATTTTCTCCTCTGGGATTTCACCAAAGCACGAAAGGTTGCAGACCCTTAGAAATTAAAAGCCAGACATTCACACACATTTATCAATCACTTCAATTACTTCAGCAGAAGAATCTCATGCCCCACTCAATATTACTAAGCACGAATTAAAATCATGGATTGAATTGGCCAGTGTGTAGCCAGTGGATATTAAGGGATATAGTACAGTGTAATTTTACCTTTTAACATCTTCCTACAAATACACTTGGGGAGAAAGATTACATTGGACTTATCATGGTCCATTTTCTACACTGATGACAGGGCATTCAAGAACAGATTATCTCCTACAAAATTGGGGCTTGCAAAGTATTTATTCAAGAACAGATTGTCTCCTACAAAATTGGGGCTTGCAAAGTATTTATTTAACTCACAAAGCCCTCGGATATGCATGATTCTAGGTGATATATACCAATCAATGTAATTGACTATCTCCATACTGAGAAAAACAATTCAAAGAATTGTTTAGAAGAATAAAGAGATATGTGCTAAATCATTCTAGAACCCAAAGCCCCCCTGAAATAAAGTCATTTTCATTGCCATTCATTGTCAAGGAAAGTAAGAGAATTGTACCCCTGGGTGAAATATGCTTCATTATTTATTAAATTTATACAGCCATCTCCCAAGACGTTACTCTGGGCAGCATGCAGCAAAATAAAAAATATAAAGATATTGAACACAGACATAAACACATACATACAATTTGATTAGCAATGAGCCCCCTCAAGGTATCAGTGGTCCCCTGAGAAACCAAAGCCTGATGACAAAGCCAAGTCTTCAAAGACTTCTGGGAAATGAGGGGTGAAGGGGGGGAATATTCCATAATGCATGGACCATTACTGACAACTCTTGTCATCTGATCCAAGTCACTTTAATTTCCAGTTGGAGGGAACTTTGAGGAGCCCCCCTCCCCCTCAAAGTTCAAAGTAGAAAGGCAGAATCGTGCTTGGCAAGGCATTTCCTGGTATCTCCAGGAAATTTATAGGTGATCAGCATTTTGAAGTGGGCCCAGCAGCCTACAGATAATTATTCTACTTCCCACAAAACAAGACAGCCTCTTCCCAAGTTTCTGATTGACAAGCTGGAAAAAGAATTCAAGAAAGGTAAGAGTAAAGGACAGAATTGTATGAATTCTATACAAACAACTACAAATATTGGTGGGGTCCCAAGCTGCTTCTCTCATGTCCAGTACTTCCTGAATAAACTGGTATCTTGTCTCCATTGTAAAAAGTAATCTTTCTTGTAGGGCTATTGATATATAGACAACCAGAATATATATCTACAGAGAAAATATAAAGAAAGTCATTATTTGGGTACAGGTCTTATACCTCTATATAAACTGGTTATCAATATACTAATTCAGTGCACCCTTTCCAGTTTATAACGTTGCATACCATTATCTCTTATATTTTATGACACAGACCTGCTCCTTCAGGAAATGCTGTAAGTTGGGAGGGCAAAAATGATCCACAAAATTACAAGGGGAGCTAGGTTTAAATTAATAGAGGCCCTAGCCCAGTGGTTCTCAAGCTTTTTAATGCCGCGACCCCCCAACCGGTCATAACTCAAGGACTACTCAATCGGTCGTAAGTCAAGGACTACCCAACCGGTCATAAGTCTAGGACTTTCCCTGTCCGGGAGCACCGCACATGCGTGGTGCCGCCCCCTGCGCCGGCTGAGGCGTAGCTGGCTGGGCAACTGACCCAGCCCAAGGGAGGTAAGGCACCCGCTGGGCTCCACACACACCAGCAACCCTCCCTGCGCCCGCTGGCTTCCCACCTCCCACCCCTGGCTCTCTTTTACTTACATTTTTAGTAGTTGCTCAGCAGGGAGGGGTGGAAACTTCCAGACAGCTCGCCTTTGCTGCAGAAAACTTGCAGCACCGTTTGCAGAATGGGACTTTTGGCGGGCTCAGCAAGGCAGCGACAGCCTGGACAATTCCTATTGGCTTTCAAAAGCCAATAGAATAAAAGGGAGTAGCACAGCTAAGGAAAAGGGGAAAAAATGGCGGACTGTGTTGTTTGGCGACCCCCGTGAAATGCTTGTTCGACCCCAAATGGGGTCCCGACCCACAGGTTGAGAACCGCTGCCCTAGCCTGTTATGAGAACTGAAACACTGACTTTTAAAGAAGATAATTTGCTTGCTGAGCAAAGATAAAGAGAAAAATCACTACAACAGAGTATTGTGTGAAGTAGTTGCCTTCCTAAAACAGGACACTCAATAGGATGTCCTTCAGAAGTTTCAAACTGCAGCTCCTATCATCCCAGGTCAGTGGCTGGGACTTAGGGGAGATATGTTTTAAAATAGGGGCCCCCCAATCCCCAGTCCGTGGACCGGCTATGGTCCGCAGCATGCCAGAAACCGGTCTGCGCAAACAAGCAAAGCCCCATCTGTGGGATGCAGGCAGTACATGAAATCAGGCCCCCTCTGATCCACAGAAAAACCTCTCTCCATAGAACCGGTTCCTGGTGCTCAAAAGGCTAAGGACCTCTGTTCTAAAACATCCAGAGGCACCATGGTTCATGAGAAGTGGGTTTTTTTCCTAGTAATTGCTGTTCTCTCTCTCCTGGAAATCCTGCCGCCTCTTATGAAAGATATCCAAAATAAATCAGATGGCTGCAATTAATTTCTTCCCTTCCTCAAAAATCACTTCCTCCACCCATATGCAAACAATCAGGAAAGAAAACTGCTTCTGAGCTGAACAAACTATAGGACACTGATCTTGGACTTCTTTTTATTATCAGAGAATTGAGGGTCCAAACAACAAATAATTTCTGGCCCAAAATACAATATTATCAGAGAGTCCTTTGATGGCTTTTCTTCCAGGATTATTTCTTCTTTTTCCACTTTGTAGTCCAAACTATAATGGCTGGATTTCCAATGCCTATTCTACTACTCATCAAGCCAAACTCTGCTTAGCTTTTCTGAGATCAGACAAGGTCAACTAGGCACTGTTAATCTGCCATTAAACCTGCTCTTAAAGGTATAGCGATAGATTAAATTTGAAAAATGGCCATCTTAAAAACAAAGAAACAAAAATCCTTTAAGAGAAGATTCCCTAAAACAGAATTCCACAGCATTTGGAAAACCAACTGTCTAATAGAAATACGAAGGCTTTTTGGATGAAGCACAAAAAGGGGTACAACAAAAGCAAGGAGTAGGTAACAAACCTCTTCAACAGGTCCAACCAAGCTTCTCACAGCAAGCTCAAAATGGCGTTAGCCTTTTCGGGGTGCAACCTCAGGGTTACCTGAACCGAGCTCGGTTCACAGATTAGTTTATTAGTGTACTACACAAACACGAGGCAACCTGCATAAACTTAGTATGCGAATTATATTCCAATTTATATTTCCAACATGCACAATAACAGTATAATCAAGTATTGTAGCTAATCCCTACTGTCTTCTTCCAAGACGCCTCTTTCCGGTGCCCTCACCAAAATTCACTCTTAAAAACTCTTACCCCCGAATCCTCTTAAGAGGATTCCCTAACGAGACGGACGGATCTAGGACCCTGAAGGCGCTGCCCTTTTCACTCGTTGTCACCTTACTTTCCACTGTGAAGATTTGCTCGCAGCACCGGGAGTGCTTTTCTGCACAGAAAGCCTCAGTGCTGGCAATAAATGAATAAGCACCCGAGGGTGAAAAAAGAAAAAAGAAAGGTGGGGGGAGAAACTCCCAACATTTCCAAAATACCTTCCCGTTGCAATGCATCACTGAAGCCAATTTCTACATTTTTTGGGATGATTAGGGGGAAGGACTTCCCGGGTCAGGAAGAAGTGGCTTCCGGGCAGCTTTGAGCCCCGGCACCTTTTTTTTTTTTTTTTAAATTTGGAAATTATCCGCTGGCAGAAGCTCAAGGGAAATAGCCTGCGGCATCCTTGGCCAAAGTTGCATTACCAGGATTCCTTATTTGAAACCATGGTCGGGAATCTTACTGGGATTGGTGTTTAGTGCACGCTGCTGGGCAGAACTTAATTTCAGTCAGGCTCGACAAAGGTATATTTCTTCCCTCCGGAGCTGCTCCATCAGCTGTTACGCCGTAGGTGAAGGTCTTAAGTTAAGGGATCTGGTCGCTTCTGGTTTTAGACCAGAGATCTCTGCCTGATAAAGACTTCTGTGCAACCTGCAAACTGTCTGGGAAAGGGAAGGAGGAAGCAAATTGGGGAAGGGTCTAACTAGTCTGCTGACATGGTAAATGTGTGCTAGTTTAAAAAGTCCACTCTTGGTTTGGAAGATGAGTTGGGAGAAGGACCTTGTCAGAATTGTTGACATTAGGGAAAGGGGGATCTTGGGGCAGGAGTGATCACAAATATTGTTCAGGAGTTCTGTACTGTTCAGGGTTTTTGTTTTAATCTTCCTCCTAATAATCAATGGGCGGAGCAGATAATACTCCTCCTAGATGCCTAGCTTCAGTCCGGCTCTTAGACAAATATAACCTGCGTTATTTTCCGGGGACTAAACTTATTTGAAGGCAGCGAGCCTTGCTCCTCAGGATGGAGGTGCAAAAGTAAAATAAGTGTGATTAAAAGCTGGAGATCCAAGGAGCTGTAATAAAACATATTTTTGAATGCCAGATTAATTTATTTTGATTTTAAAAAGTGAAGATTCTATCTAGTGCCTACATAGAAGTAATCTGTGTTGTTTCAGTAGGTTTTCATCTAGGGTTATGGCTTTATTACTCAGCGGAAGATACACATTACCCAAATTTATATACTGCTCCATCCCAAGACACTCTTTCTCAAACACACACACTTCCACACACTCATATTCCATTCCACCCCAAAGGATAGTCCTAGCATCTTTTGTATCCTAATTGTTTTATATCTAGATCAGGTTAGGGCAGCTTGGCCGCTGTATGTTTTATTAATCTAATTTTGAGGGAATTTACTTAAGAAAATATCCCAGAAGAAGGCAATGATGAATCATATCTGTACTGTTGCCAAAAGAACTTTTATGGATGTATTAACACATTTCCATACAATCAGTTCTGTCCAAAGGCGTCTTAATCCTAAATTGCTTTATCCTTGCAATTTAAACCTGTCCTTGACTCCATTTGTTTGAGTCATCTGTTAACAACTGTGTTTTGCACAGTAATTAGCCCACCACATTTCAGCCTGTTGTGTGAAATCAGCCACTGTGATCAGTTTGATATTTGTACCCAGAAAATTGGATTAAATTCATTATGGTTCAATCAACCATGGCTTGTACATGAATGTAACAATGTCTTTAATGTTATCTTCAGATAGACATCACTCTTAAAAGCTTTTACTAATAAATAAGTTTCAGTGAAAGTAAAACTTCTAATGAAGAGACATTTCAAATCTTCATGACAGCCTGATATCAACTAGTAATGCTTTTCCTATTTCCCTGTTGAGAAGAGTAATTTCAATCCTTTCTTTTTCTCTAGGAACATTTTATTCTGTAGTGTTATTTATAAAGTTCCTGAGCACATTCTTTTTACTGGATCAGTTTGATCCAACTGCAAGCTTATACATTTTTGAAAAATGGAAGTACTAGATTCTGTGCCTATAGAATGGTGCATCATATTAAAATGATGAGCATATATTTATAAAGATGTTTATTGGGCAGACTTCTGGAAAAAGATGGAGCCAGGCAGTCTGGATAGTTGATGGCTTGCTTTTGTGAAGTTAATGCTCTGTTATGGGCTGGGCTTTTGTTTGCAAGCACACCAATGGCATGCATACTAACAGTTTCTCACTGTTTGTGGGAAATCTAAAATGGGTTGAAACCACATGGGTGCAATGAGGCCCAGTCAGTTGTACAACTTTGTTAATCTGAGCATGCTCTGAGATGGGGGGGTGGGATTCATGAATAACAGGTTCAAGAAAGTGGGGGCTGCAAAGGCAGGAGTCAACTAAGTCTTTGGGGAATCTGAAAGTTTTAAAAAACTGATATCAAGTAAAGCATTTGGAGTGGGCAAGCAGGCACATTCTGGACTGAATCTGCAGTTTTTGGTTGCCAAGGCTGGATGAGTAGAAGAGTCAAAACTAGTAAGATTTCTTTTTTTCTCTCTCTCTCTCCTCCTTCCTCCTTATCTATCCTGGCATTGTATTTGCATTTGAAAATATTTTTGACTATTTGAAACATTAGAAATCTTATTCCATGAATATCTTGATTATCCCTCAGTTAGCGAAACTGCTCTTTGAAACAATGAATTTGTTTGCAGAGAATTCAATATTGGTATGGTGATCTAAAATTCCTATTAAAGAAATTTGAATACTTCTAAGAGTTACTTAGACACTGATGTATTCCAGCTTTCTAAGGATTTTGATCCTTTTCTTCTCCAACCAGCAAGCAAGAAAAAATTGGAAAGATGGATTGATTGATAGCAAGGCGTACATTCATAAATCCTAAATTTACTTTTGACCAGTATTGCATGCTTAGATTTTTCTTGTACATGGTGGGGATGTTTGCTTAGTGGTGTAATCTTTTCACCAGAAATCAATTTTGAATTGCTAAATGTGACAGGAAAAGTATCATTTCTACTGATGGCTATTTATGATCTCTAAATTGAGATTTCACATAATTCTTGGAACTGTCTTGCTGGTCAGCCTGAACAGAAAACCTTCCTTCCACTTGTCACGTATAAAAGGAGTACATCTGGTTGATATTTTTAAAATGCCATCTCCGACATTTCTTTTTTAAACAACGATCTCAGGATAACAGATTAAACTGGTACATTTTTAATGGAGGTAGCTAAAAAATACTATTACTATATTTTTGTTTAAATATGATTGATTGCATTATATATGTTAAATGAATACATGTCTTCTATTTTTTATTGTTAGAATTTATAATAGTTAATTCTACATGATTTCATACCACTGAATTACCACACTAAAAAAATCTGGTCAGTTCCTGTGTGCAGTTTTTGGTACGTGTTGAAAAAGTTTTGGTGTTTCTTGGCTCAATGCCCAGTGCATCATTCAGCCAGTAGAATTAAGAACTGAACTAATGGCAAAGACAATACTGTACATAGTCTCTTGTTTCAATTTGGAGTAATTTTGTGAATGAATTTGTATTTCTGTTATCTTCTTTTATTTAGAAAAAAAATTAGGAATCTAGAAGAGGGAAGCTGGAAAAATGCCCTCTAGTAAGTTCTTTAGTTAACCCTTAATGGCTCTTGGCTGGAAGTTTATTTTCGACTATTTTATAATTTTCTTCAGTGTTCCAGAGTTGGTTAAACAGGCCCAATCTGAGCTAGGGACAAATAAGGACCATTTGGCTTGGGTTTCATTTTTTAATTTTTATGATTGTTAAAGACTTTAAATTTTTAAAGTGGTCAAGTCCTTTCTGAATCTCAGAGATAATCTGGGGGACATTGTAGAGTCTTAAAATGGTGGCTTGAACCAACTGTTCTAAATGTCATATATATAATCTTCTGTAACTTTTGGCTCTTTCACCTAAGCCTTTATGCATTGTATTAGAAATTTCCAACAAGCCAAGATAATAAAATCTGGTTTAACACAACATCTGATAAGAACTAAAATATTTCTTTTCATGTAGATGGAAGCATTTGGAAGTTTGTATTCATATTATTTGGTGCTGAATATATGAAATGTTTCCATATGTTTTGGATTTCAACTTCCATCATTTCCATCAACCTTGGGCAATATAACTTAAATAAGTACTGAATATAAGAACAGCCCCATTGGATAAGATAAAGGCCCATCTTAGTCCAGCATTTTTTTTTTATTACAACTAGATGGTCCAATAATGCTCAGAAGCAACATATTGTCGTATAGTTGGTGTTTGGAGTCATGCTGCCCTAAAAATAACATTGAATTTTCTAGATGATAGGCCTGAAAGTATTCAGTCCCCCTTTTAAACTATTCAAGATTTTGACCATCATCACAACTTAGAATAAAGAATTTTAGAAAGGTCCAGGCCAAAACAGCTGGAGGATGTAAAATTTCCAACCCACAGCCTTGTACAACAGTCTTTAACATAAACTATGATCAATTATAAATGAGCTGGCCTCAAATCATAAATTATAAAACTATGGAAAGTAACATATGAAAGTAATAATTAAACCATTCCTTTCCCGTCCTTTATGCCAGTCAAATTTAGACTTTACCCTCCCTTCATTAATTGGCTTTCTTCTTTCTCTTCCATGTCATGCTTAGTTCAGTTCTTGAGATTAACATAGAAAGTATTACATTTAATTAAATGGAGATATCATTTAAAGGGGAAAATTGAGTTCTTATACAGTGTATTACAAGCGTGACCAGATCACTGCAAATTGAAGCATTTCAGGGTGCTTGTCAAGGAAAGGTTTTGTGAAGTTTACAATTTGAAGAAACTATGAACCTTGTCATGTATATTTCTGAAAGAAATTTATTTATCTTGCCTCTATTGTTTTTTATAAGTAACTCAAGGCAGCAAACATAACTAGTACTATTTTCTCCTCCTATTTTCCCAACAATAACCCTGTGAGATCAGTTCAGGTGAGAGAGTGACTGGCCCAAAGTCACTCTTTCATGTGTGGCTTTCATGCCAAAGGCAGGACTAAAATTCAGTCTCCTGTCTTCTAGGGCTAGCTGTATTTCTGAATTCAAGTAAATATACAAAAGATTGCAGTTTTAATAGCTGAACAGATTACTTTATGCAAAATATTCTGCTTTCTCCAGTTTAGCTAATCTGAGAGAAAAGTCCTATAACACAGTTATTTTACTAATAATTAGTTTAAATAATTTTTAATGCAGCTTGGAAGCAGCAATAGGCACATGAAATGTGTTATTTATTTTTCAAATGTTAGCTTTATGTACCCTTTTGTAACCTGCCTCTGTAGTTATAGCTAGTTTTCTTTTAATGTTAGTTATAGTTATAGATCCTACTGGCCAATCAAGTCTGATTTGTGCTGGTAGCATGCAATATCTTTATGGATTGGTGTCCCCAATTAACATATTAAAATAGGTAGTTCAATTGTAACTGTGTTTTTTTTTAAAAAAAACAAACAAACAAACCTGTGTTCATATTCCTCTTTGTTGTCATTGTCTCTTCCTCTAGTTTGAGACGCAAACGACTCGAGGAATTTCTCCACTTGATAGTCTCTCCAGTTGGCAGACCAGTTATTGGAAGCTTCAGCACAAGCCTACATAAACTCCAAATCCAAAGAATGAGGAGGAAAATAGCAGCAAAGCGGAATATGGTAGCCCAGTACTTCCAGTGTCAGACACCATTCGAACAACGAGTGCAACCATTGGTGAAAATGGAAAAAGAACCCGACCCAGCAGGCTCTGATTCATTAGGAATGTCAGAAGCCTCTATAAAAACATATCGTATTATACCGGTAGGAACAGGAGGAGGAGGTCTCCGGCTAGTAACACCACAGCAAACCAGGAATGAACGACCAGAGGCACCCCAACGCTGGGAAATCCAAGGGCAAGAATTGCCAACTCCAGAACTTACCCCAGTCCAATCACCTGCATGGAGGAATCTGCAAGTACCAGAACTCACCTTAACAGAAGACATTGAGACCTACTTGACTACTTTTGAGGATGTGGCTGAGGCCTGCAAATGGCCAAGGGAACAGTGGGTCACTCGGTTGGTGCCAGCCCTCAACGGAGCTGCTCTTCAGGCCTACAACAGCTTGGATCCTAGAGAAAGTGGGGATTATGGGAAAGTAAAAGCTGCAATCTTACGAGAAGATGCTATCAGTCTGGAAAGACAGAGGCAGCATTTCAGGCATTTCCGTTACCAGGAGGCTGAAGGGCCCCGTGAAGTCTGTTCTCGTCTGCGGGGCCTCTGCCATCGCTGGCTGGAACCAGAGAGCCGCACCAAGGAACAGATTGTAGAGTTGTTGATCCTAGAACAATTTCTAACTGTCTTGCCTGAGGAAATGCAGGAATGGGTTCAGGAATATCGTCCAAAGACCTGCATTCAGGCAGTAACCTTGGCAGAACATTTTCTTTTGAAGCAGCAAGACAGTGAGAGATGGGATCAACAGGTGAGCACTTTCCAGCATGAAACCTGGGAGCTTATGTCCTAACATGCAATTAGAGTTTTAAATCACTTTTAAAAGCACCAGTTTCTGCCTACACTCATGGTAGTATCCAGGAATGGGGGGGAAAAACAACCTACCTACCTACAGGAGCTGGTTGTTGCTGAAGCATTCCTTTTTTTTTTTTTTTTTTTTTTTTAGTTTTTACAATTTTATTTAGTAGTGCCCAGCTCCCATGAGGAGAAACTGCCTCTTTTGTGTATTTTTTTTTAAAAAAAAATAGACTCTACAAGCAGCTCAAAATGTGAGTCAGTTCTGATGTACATAATAGAAACAGTCACGTTCCACAAAAGCCATTTGACCACCTGTTTCACAGGCAAGTGTTTATTTGATAACATCTCTGTCAAAATAATGTCCTGTGCCAAAAGTTTAATACTATATTCATTTAAATTGTTTAAAAAGGTGCTTCCTTTGTTTATATAGTATTCTTTAAAGTATAATGAAAGTGATTTCTGAAACCATCCATGAAAAGTTATTGCACTGAACTGAAATTGAGTCCTTATTGCTTTTTAGATTTTCTGTTTGTTCACAAAAAGAAAGCAACTGGAAAGTGAGGAAGCAACACGAGGAGCATTTGTTCTCTTAGATTGTTTAACCACACAAATTTGACATCCCTCTCCTTCCCCATCTTTAGAGCAGAGCAGCATTCTGAGAGAACCTGAATGATTTAAATGAATATCAGCTGATGCAGACAGCCTTATACACTATTAAAATTCACAGAAACAGTAGCAGAATACTCTTGGAGAGATCCAAGTTTATGTCAAGCAAGTGTGAATTTTGAACTACCAGAAATAAAAGATTCCATACATTTTGCAAGGTGTGGCAGTTGGGGACATCCAGCATCTAGCCAAGAATTGACTTTGTCTGGTTAGGGTTTAGTAAATTCCAGATTAAAGTTAAAGACAGCACATGTAAAGTGTTTTTTCCTGGATTGACAACTATTACAGTCACACATCTGAATCTGTCTTATACCACTGACTTCCCTAGATAGACACTAAAGATGATTGAAAATGTTTCTCTGTGTTGCTGTTTTCCTACTTGCATTCTACTTTCCCTGACAAAATTATATCACTCTGCTTGGTGTATTCCTTTGCCTTGAATGGTGTCTAACTGCTGTTTCAGGTGCTAGGGCCATATATGCTTGAGGAGTCTATGAATTTTCCAGAAAGTGAGCAAGTGGTCTCAGATACCCGGCAGACGGTGCTTTGCAGAGAAAATAAGGATGAGCTGAATGAGAATGCCTCCTCAGCAGGTAAGGGTTTTGAGACTCCAAATATCTTGAGTCAATTCTGATAATATAGTCATTTAGTTAGAGATTATGGGATTGAAATAGAGTATCTGAAGGGACCAAATTGGGCCAGAGAATCATTCTGGATTAACGAGATCCAAGTTCAAATAACTCTTGAGCCATAAACCTCTGGTCTTCTACTCTATTTTATCATATCTTATTTTGCAAAGTTGTTGTGGAATTACAATGGCTGCCTTTCCTTCCTCCAATCCCTTCCCTCGTGCATACACGCTGTATCCAGTTGCCTGTTTCCATCCCATTGATTTCCGGACTTGCTGCTCCCTCCTCCCCCTTTTTTCTTTTGATCGTTTTCCTCATGTGCCTATGGTTGTCCGCTGTATCTCCACTAGTTTTTAAAGTCGCTGGATGCAACTGGATACACACGACGAAAACGATCGGCGAAAAGAAGGGGGAAGGGAGAACAGCAGCTTTAGAAATTAATGGTGGGATAGCAGACAGTGGTGTATGCAAGAGGGAAGGGATTGGAGAAAGAAAAGTGGATAATGGAACAGCAGCCTTGAAAACCACCAAGGGAACAGCTAACGCGAGCCTTTTAAGAGTAAAACAATTAGGAACATTGGGTGGACCGATGACTAGGTCCAGGAGCCGTGCGCAAAACCGGCCAGTATCATAAAAAGGGGACTCCCATTGACTTGCTCCCATGCTCTGATGATGTCGGTAGTGCTGGCCGACGAAAGCTCAGCATTTTTATTAAACGATTTCTAGTTTGATATTATCCTGGTGTTCATATTTATTTGTTTTTTACTGCATATATATATATATGTATGTATGTATGTATGTATGTATGTATGTATGTGTATATGTATATATATACACACACACACACTGTAAATGCCGGCGTACAAGGCGACCCAGCGTATAAGACGACCCCGTCTTTATAGCCGGGCCGCATTCCTAGAACGTCGTCTTATACGCCGGAAACTACTAGTATTTCCGGCGTATAAGACTACTCGGCGTATAAGACGACCCCCGTCTTTGGCGCCGATTTCAGCGCTCGCGGAAGTCGCCTTATACGCCGGCATTTACGGTATATATATATATATATATATATATATATATATATATATATATATATATATGTAGGTCTTGGTTGTTCGGGTTTTCTCCCACCTCCAATTTTACGCGGGAGAAAACCCGAACAACCAAAGACCTACTACAAATACCCGCGAAAACCTCAGAAAACATATATATATATATATGTTGTTGTTAATTGCGAAGTCGGTCCGACCCATCGCGACCCCATGGACAACGTTCCTCCAGGTCTTCCTGTCCTCTACCATCTTCTGGAGTCCATTTAAATTCACACCTACTGCTTCAGTGACTCCATCCAGCCATCTCATTCTCTGTCGTCCCCTTCTTCTATTGCCCTCAATCTTTCCCAGCATTAGGCTCTTCTCCAGTGAATCCTTCCTTCTCATTAGGTGGCCAAAGTACTTGAGTTTCAACTTCAGGATCTGGCCTTCTAAAGAGCAGTCGGGGTTGATCTCTTCTAGGACTGACCGGTTTGAACGCCTTGCAGTCCAAGGGACTCGCAGGAGTCTTCTCCAGCACCACAGTTCAAAGGCCTCAATTCTTTTGCGCTCAGCCTTTCTTATGGTCCAACTTTCACAGCCATACATTGCAACTGGGAAAATCATGGCCTGGACTATGCGCACTTTTGTTGGCAGGGTGATGTCTCTGCTTTTTAGTATGCTGTCTAGATTTGCCATAGCTTTCCTCCCCAGGAGCAAGCGTCTTTTAATTTCTTGGCTGCAGTCCCCATCTGAGGTGATCTTGGAGCCCAGAAAAATAAAATCTGTCACTACCTCCATTTCTTCCCCATCTATTTGCCAGGAATTGAGAGGGCCGGATGCCATGATTTTGGTTTTCTTAATGTTGAGTTTCAAGCCAACTTTTGCACTCTCCTTCTTCACCCGCATCAAGAGGCTCTTTAGTTCCTCTTCACTTTCTGCCATTAGAGTGGTATCATCTGCATATCTTAGGTTGTTGATATTTCTCCCGGCAATCTTAATTCCAACTTTTGATTCATCTAGCCCTGCCTTTCTCATGATGTGCTCTGCATATAAGTTAAATAGGCAGGGCGACAGTATACAGCCTTGCCGGACTCCTTTTCCAATTTTGAACCAATCAGTGGTTCCGTGTTCGTTCTCACTGTTGCTTCTTGACCCGCATATAGGTTTCTCAAGAGACAAATGAGATGGTCTGGTACTCCCATCTCTTTAAGAACTTGCCACAATTTGTTGTGATCCACACAATCAAAGGCTTTTGCATAGTCAATGAAGCAGAAGTAGATGTTTTTCTGGAACTCCCTAGCTTTCTCCATGATCCAGCGTATGTTGGCAATTTGATCTCTAGTTCCTCTGCCTCTTCGAAATCCTGCCTGTACTTCTGGTAGTTCTCGATCCACATACTGCTGGAGTCTAGCTTGTAGGATTTTAAGCATAACTTTACTAGCATGTGAAATGAGTGCAATGGTGCGATAGTTTGAACATTCTTTGGCATTGCCTTTCTTTGGAATTGGAATGTAAACTGACCTTTTCCAATCCTGTGGCCACTGTTGAGTTTTCCAAATTTGCTGGCAAATTGAGTGTAGCACTTTTACTGCATCGTCTTTTAAGATTTTGAATAGCTCAGCTGGAATACTGTCACCTCCACTAGCTTTGTTGTTGCTCAGATTTTCTAAGGCCCATTTCACTTCACATTCTAGGATGTCTGGTTCGAGGTCAGTGACCATCTCATTGTGGTTATCTGGGATGTTAAGCTCATTCTTGTATAGTTCTTCTGTGTAGTTTTGCCATCTCTTCTTAATCTCTTCTGCTTCTGTTAGGTCTCTGCCATTTTGGTCCTTTATCATGCCCATCTTTGCATGAAACGTTCCCTTCATATCTCCAATTTTCTTGAAGAGATCTCTGGTCCTCCCTATTCTGTTGTTTTCTTCTATTTCTTTGCACTGTTCATTTAAGAAGGCATTCTTATCTCTTCTAGCTACTCTCTGGAATTCTGCATTCAATTGGGTGTATCTTTCTCTTTCTCTTTTGCCTTTCGCTTCCCTTCTTTCCTCAGCTATTTGCAAAGCTTCCTGAGACAGCCATTTTGCTTTCTTGCATTTCTTTTTCTTTGGGATGGTTTTAGTTGCTACCTCTTGTACAATGTTGCGAACTTCCATCCATAGTTCTTCAGGCACTCTGTCTATCAGATCCAGTTCCTTAAATCTATTTGTCACCTCTACTGTATATTCATCAGGAATATGATTTAGTTCATACCTGAGTGGCCTAGTGCTTTTCCCTACTTTTTTCAATTTAAGCCTAAATTTTGCAACGAGAAGCTCATGATCTGAGCCACAGTCAGCTCCTGGTCTTGTTTTTACTGACTGTATAGAGCTTCTCCATCTTTGGCTGCAGAGTACATAGTCAATCTGATTTCTATGTTGACCGTCTGGTGATGTCCATGTGTAGAGCCGTCTCTTGGTTGTTGGAAAAGAGTGTTTGTTATGACCATCGTATTCTCTTGACAAAATTCTATTAGCCTGTGCCCTGCTTCATTTTGTACTCCAAGGCCAAACTTGCCTGTTATTCCGGTTATCTTTTGGCTTCCTACCTTAGCATTCCAATCCCCCATGATGATAAGGACATCATTTTTTGGTGTTAATTCTATAAGGTGCTGTAGGGCTTCATAGAACCGGTCAATTTCATCCTCTTCAGCACCAGTGGTTGGGGCATAGATTTGGACTATTGTGATATTGAATGGTTTGCCTTGGATTCGAATTGAGATCATTCTGTCATTTTGGGGATTGTATCCCAGTATTGCTTTTCCTATTCTTTTATTGACTATGAAGGCTACTCCATTTCTTCTGAGGGATTCTTGCCCACAGTAGTATACCTGATGGTCATCTGAGTTAAATTCACCCATTCCTGTCCATTTTAGTTGCTGATTCCTAAGATGTCGATGTTCAGTCTTGTCATCTCTTGTTTGACCACGTCTAACTTGCTTTGATTCATGGATCTTACATTCTAGGTCCTATTGGAGAAAAATCTTTACAGCATCGGGACTTTCCTTTCACCACCAGATATATCCACAGCGGAGCGTCTTTCGGCTTTGGCCCAGTCGCTTCATTCTTTCTGGCGCTACTAGTACTAGCCCTCTGCTCTTCCCCAGTAGCATATTGGACACCTTCCGACCTGAGGGGCTCATCTTCCAACGTCATATCTTTTTCCTTTTAGTACTGTCCATGGGGTTTTCATGGCAAAGATACTGGAGTGGTTTGCCATTTCCTTCTCCAGTGGATCACATTTTGTCAGAACTCTCTGCTATAACCTGTCCGTCTTGGGTGGCCCTGCACGGCATAGCTTATAGCTTCATTGAGTTACGCAAGCCCCTTCACCACGACAAGGCAGTAATCCATAAAGGGGATATATATATATATATATATATATATGTTTTCTGAGGTTTTCGTGGGTGTTTGTATGTAGGTCTTTGGTTGTTCGGTTTTTCTCCCGCGTAAAATTGGAAGTGTCTTGGCGACGTTTCGACGAAGTCCCATTCGTCATCTTCAGGCTGGTGTTTTCAGCTTCGTGCTTCAAGCAGCAATGTGTGGTCTTAGCTGTTTCTTCCTTTTAACTGCCAGTGGGGGTATGAACTGATTGGGTGGGTGCTTGGCTGTGTTCTGATTGGGTGGAGGTGTGTTCTGATGTGGGCTAGGGCTGGCGGTGCGATGAATTGGCTTCCCGCTAGGGGGTGGCTGTGCTCTGATGGCTGGGGGGTTGGCTGTGCTCTGATTCGGCGGGGGAGGGTCTGTTTTTGGTGTGCTCAGGTTAGTCCTGAGTTGCAGAGGGGTTAAGAATTTTGGGCTGCCTTGTATTTTTGGCTTCGCGTTTTGTTGGTCGTGCCTAATTTTCATGAGGGGTCAGTTGCTTCATGTATGGATGGAGGGGTTTAAAGTGGTA